GTATAATTAAATTCTTTGAAAAACATAACATCATTATAACATGCATGATTTTTTTTTCCAACTCTCTCTTACATGTCTCTTGACCAATGAAAATTCATTAAGCCTCTCCGCGGTGTAATTTGAGAGGAGAGGGTGAGTGTGACAAACTTACGACGACACATGTTACAGTTTAAACTGTGTCAAGTTAGTAGTAGCAATTTACCTATATAACAACAACAAAAAATAATGTCTATGAAGATACAAATGAAAAAAAATTAAAGGATACCTGAGCCGTCCATGAAAATATAACAATGTTAACATAATCCAGAAAAAAAAACGTTCTAAACATATTATGAGGTGTGTCTAAAACTACCACTCTCATTTAACTATCCTCTGACACTTAATAAACACATAGAGCTGGCTACGGGAAGTAATAAATAACGTTAAATCTTCTGTAGAAGGCGAAAAGGAAACGCGATAAGCCTCTAGAAAGTTCAACAATAACAATAAGCCTTAGAAAGGAAAGTTAAAACACTTGTAAATAGGCAAAGAAAGCAATTATCAAAAACTAGTGTAATTAATTAATGACGTAATGTCTTACTATATACAGAAACGTTATATAGCTAGTATTAACTACATATAATAAGAACTTTAACTAACGGAAGTCAAAACCAATGGTGGTCAATACACCAAAGTGGTTCATTATTACCCTAAACAATATCCAAAGGAATTAAAGTGTAGGCAAGGAATTTTTGAAAAGGTTGTGATACTATGTAAAACTTATAAACCCGCAATCAGTAGCAAGAATATTGTTGAATTTCATGCAGAATTGAATGAAGTTTTGTGCTTAAATTGTGTAATGAGAAACCTCGTTTGTGAGAAATGAGAATGAATGTACGAGCTCTATCCACGAGCCTTGTAATGTTTAAAACATTATATTGTATCTAACAAGCTGTGAGTAGTAAACATTGTAACCTAACTTATTCGAAATATTCGTATTTTGAAATGGAAAATCTATAAAAGTGTCTATTTTATTGAAAACTTTAAACTTGGATGTTAGATTACTGATGCTAATATCTAAATCCAGATACTGTACTTTGTTGTCAGTGAAATAGTTTTTTTCTAGAGTTAGCTCCGGTAGATATATTTGTTTGGCTTTGTCTTGAAAACTTTGATAATTCGGTATAAGAACATCATCTACATATCTACAAGCGCGACTGATGTGACAATATTTACTGTGGTCTGTCTTAGTAGGATTCGTAATGTATTAAAATTCTAATCTGAATAAATAAATATCTGTAACTTGGAAACTGAAGTTACCTCCCTTTTGTTCTATATCTCTGTTGGAAGACATGTCGAATAAATTGTATGAAGTATCGTTAATTAAACAAATTATCTGAAACTCGTGATTTTTTGTGAGGACATTGTCGTAAGAAGTTTTGTGTTTATTGACGCAGAGTAGTAGTATACCAGTATACCAGAATTATTTAAAAGCCCTTGTAATTCTTGACGAAAGACTCTTTTAATTATTTAAATAGGATGATTAGTGTAAAGATTACTAAAATAAAATGTTTCTATTGTTATAGCTTCAAAGTCTTTAATTTTCTCTTTACATTCAATGGAATTACTGATGATAATGAACGAATTAATGTCGTGTCTTTCTTTGATAATACTTCAGTGTTTCTTAAATGTTCTTTAATGTATTTCATACCATTATCTATTAGAATTGACAATAAACCTTTATTTACATGATGTTTTATGTAATTCGAGATTCCAAAATAATTTAAGTATCACATTGTAAGATTTAACAGAATGCACGCCAAAGTTTGATAAAACTGTAATGTGTTTAAATATGATACTTTCTATATTAGTTTTAATGTGCTTATATACACCTCGTTACCAGAAGATTTTAATATTTCTATTCTAAACCCTGTAGTTCTTTAGATAATGTTATAATATGAAACATTTTACAAATGAAAAAATAACACTGTTAGCTGTTTTATCGGCAGGAGTGGATGACGTGTCTGTTACGTAAATAACATAAATGTTTAATAACTTCTTTTCTATCCATAACAAGTTGATTGTTTTTGATAGCAAATTTCTTTAAGTATTTTATGCGTTTATTGATTATTTCCTTGACTTTATTTACCTAGTTTCTAAATATGATTACTTTTAAATTCTTTTTTTATGTAAAAACTTTAACGAGTGATGTGCTAATTACTTGTTTAGTGCATTTCCAATTAAATTTTGGATATTCCCGGAATTTAGAACCTACCACACAATGTAATAACCGCTTAAATCTTTAAGCTACTGATAATTAAAACGAATGTAGATTCGAAAGATATAGAACAAAATATCCACATTTTTAGCCACAGATATTTCCTAAATACCCACAAGAAAGTGTATTTATAATAAAACAGCATGTATATGTCTACCGATTTTATTTTTTTTCAGCTAAACCCTCCAGCATTATACTGATAACAGAAACACCGACCTATTGTATTTACCATGCACGACTTGGTTTTTCTTATCCTTAATTGTTTTATAAGAATCTGATTTCAACATAATTTCTCTTCTTGGATAAATACGAGCACTTCTGTGAAAGCGTCGTTTATGAGTGGTTAAAAAAGCAAACAATCATCATCTTTATCAAAAGCTATTGAGTGAAAAGTAATAGAGAAACAAATTTGCAAATGTAAGATTAATTTGTATTTTTATTTCACTACAGGAACACATATTTCTTTAATGTTGGTTGGTATTTTGTATTTTTATTTCACTGCAGTAAACATATATTTTTAATGTTGGTTGGTAATTTGTATTTTAATTTCACTGCAGTGAACATATATTTTTTAATGTTGTTTGGTAATTTGTAGTTTTATTTCACCGCAGTGAACATATATTTTTTAATGTTGGTTGGTAATTTGTATTTTAATTTCACTGCAGTGAACATATATTTCTAATATTGGTTGGTAATTTGTATTTTATTTCACTGCAGTGAACATATATTTTTAATGTTGGTTGGTAATTTGTATTTTTATTTCACTGCAGTGAACATATATTTTTTAATGTTGGTTGGTAATTTGTATTTTTATTTCACTGCAGTGAACATATATTTTTTAATGTTGGTTGGTAATTTGTATTTTTATTTCACTGCAGTGAACACATATTTCTTTAATGTTGGTTGGTAATTTCTATTTTTATTTCACTGCAATGAACATATATTTTTTAATGTTGGTTGGTAATTTCTATTTTTATTTCACTGCAGTGAACATATATTTTTGTAATGTTGGTTGGTAATTTCTATTTTTATTTCACTGCAGTGAACATATATTTTTTTAATGTTGGTTGGTAATTAGGAACAAATCGATTTGCCTCAAACTATTCTTATGAGGCCTTGACGTAGAATGAGCCAATTTGATATAAGTAAGAAATAATCAGACTCGGTATAAAGGGCAATAGTACTCCATACTAACTTTTGTTTTGGTTAAATATTTACATATCTAATAATTTATTACAGTATTTGTATCTGTGACTGTTTAAATCAAAAATAATTTTTTGAGAAATATTAATAAACAGTTACGCTTCAATAACACCAATCTTAGACTGCATTCTACTCTTGATTTACAATAATGTCGTTTGCATTCAAGTGTTTTACCGAAATTAGAAAATCTACTGTTAAGCAGTAAGAAACCCAAATTGAACCAACTGAAACTGATAGTTTGAAGGAAATTCACGCTAATCAGTTCAGATTATTCAGTAAGTCTAATCCGGCGTTTATTTATCCAACCAGACTTTTCTTTTTTTTCATTATCTATCTTTTTTTTTTTAATTAGTTTCTGCCGTACTGTTTTGTCGACGATCAATATATGTGTACCAAATATTTTACATATACCAGCTGTTCTCGATTATTATATGAATCAATGTTTATCGACTTTTAGGAATTTAAATTCAACTAAGCTTAAAGCACAGAATATCTTATACTTTTATTTTTCTTTCTCCCTTATGGTTTGAACCACTTTCTTCTTTTCCATATCTGTACTTCTCGGTTTTCGTAATCTTACAAACGTACCAGCTTTTAAGCGTAGGACTCACCAATTGATAGGCACGAATATTGCTCTCTAACTCAACTGTTTCCTGCGTTCTTTTGAGCGGAAACGTGTGCCAAGTTGGAAAATGAGTTGGAAAACGGTTTTTGATTGATCACCGACACAAGAAAATTTTAACGTCACTGTAATAGACCCATACTTATAATTCACGTAACTGAGACTAATAGATCTTAAAAAAGAAAAAGAAGTGACGTCAATCTATCTCAAAACTGCATCTTTAATCTTGCGACAACAATAACTTCCTTCAGACCCTATATTGCCTTTCTTATTGGACGATGTAGTTCTTTTTAGGACTCCATACTGTTGGTAAAAAAAGGCCAGACTACAAATACATCCGCATACAAAAAATCGACAAATATAAATACATATAAAATGTTGTCTTTAACGTATATAAATATGAAATTTAATGTGTATCGTCTGACATGCAAAAAGATTTACAAAGCGTACACATACATTTTCAGATTTATTAAGAAATTTGTAACAAAAATTATTAAGTAAATATTCTTTCTTTACTGCAGTTTCCGACACTTCCACCAAGTAATCAGTTAATATTTCTGATCATACATAAAGCTAAGATATGATCGTAAACATATTTCGTTCCGTCACACCAAACATGCTCGCTTTTTCAGCTGTGGGGGCGTTATAAGGTGACGGTCAATCCCACTATTCTTTGGTAAAAGAGTAGTCCAAGAGTTGGCGGTGGGTGGTGTTGACTAGCTGCCTTCCCTCTAGTCTATCTCTGCTAAGTTAGGGACGGCTAGCCCAGATAGCCCTCGTGTAGTTTTGCGCGAAATTCAAAACAAACCAGACATTTTGTTTTGGAAGCCAATATTAAACATTAATGTGTAATCGATAATAATATACTAACAAAAGGAGTTTCTAATTTTTCTTTTTATCGTTATCATATGCAAACAGGTTGCCAAACGTCGTGATGCTATTCGTTGTTTCCTGGTGGGAAAGCGGTAAATCTACGGGCTTACAACGCTAAAATCCGAGGTTCGATTCCCCCGGTGGGCACAACAATTAGCCCAATGTGGCTTCGATCTATAAAAAAAAGATAAGTTATTTGTTTAAAACAATTTAACTTACTGAATAACACACAGTAGTAAAGCTCGAAATTTAAACTTGAAGTCTATGTAATTACTTCTATAAATTTATAGGTGATGATAATACAGAATGGATAAAAGTAGTTTTAAAATGTCTACCAATGCAAGTAAAACATTAAATTGGTAAATAAAATATCTTTCCTTTCCTCCTCCATTTTGCAAGAAAAATTTATATTTAAATAAGTATTTAAATACAGACTTCACTAAGCTTTCTACAGAATCGGTATTACATTTTGTTATCATTATAAATTCTTGTTAAATCCCTCTAAACGATTTTTTGTGTGTTTGATACATTACTCTTAAAGCATAGTTTCAAATTAATAAATAAATAACAGCGCAGCTGGTATTTTCGACTTAGATTTATCTTGAATTATTTTATTATTCGTGATCCAATGGGACTTTATGTTACACACACAAACATATTAATCTCTCCCTCCATGAAGATAAATCATGAGCCCTAAACCAATAATTCATCACTGCATTGCATGAGCATGCTTCAAGGAACTTTTATCCTTTCTGGGATAACAACATAGTATTTAAAATAGGAAATTTGTCATTGGCTCTTTTATTTCCACGACCACAATTCTCCTGGGTTGAAGCCAACTGATTACATACCATCTACGGAACTGCTCCTAAAATAAGGCTGTTGAATTAAACTGTTCAAAACACTAATACAGTAATGCTCGAGGAAACAAGCTGGGTAAAATGATTTCAACACGTTTTATCATAAACAGTCTCATTTGCGAAGTCCATTTTCAATTTAAACAGGTTTACTTTATCTTCCATCAATATTCCGTCCTCGCACGTGTTTAATCAGAAGTGGATTACCTTCATCTGTGTCCTATGTAAAAAATTGAGCAAAAATATCCGCATACATTCAAACCACATTATGTAAACAGCTGTATATTTAACTCTTTTAAAATTAATCTCAAAAGTAAAACTATTAACTTGAATACAAAGTAATCCGATTTCAGAAAACATTATGTTGAAAATGTAAAATGTAATTATATTGTTTCGTCACCTAGATTATATTATAATAAAATATGGTACTTTATGGGTGCACTTCCATATTACAAAGATATCTTCACCAACATATTCTAACTATTCATTAGTATGTGTAAAAGTAAGTCATGGGTTAGCATTCTATTCCTTCATTTTCTCGGTAAATGCGTCCTGCTTCCAACCTCTACCTTGTCTTCATATTTACAATATTAAGTATCCTTGCATTGAATAATGCTTTTTTCTTTTAGTATGATTACACAGTTGCATGAAACTATCAAATTTCCCCTAAAATAATAGATAAGTAGTATAAATCTCACATGCTTACACGTCTTGTTCTGAAAGCCCTGTGCTAATGTAAATATGATATATGTCATTATGTATTCTATTTCAGGGGTCCTGTCCATTTGTATCAAGGGTTTTCAAATATAAAATTTACGTAATTTCTAATTCCTATATCAGACGTGGCAAACTTGCGTAAATGAAAAGATTTTAAATGAGTGAATTTATGTATGTATTCTGCAATGATGTGTGTATATTCTAAACTTGAAATTGTTAATTCTGACACATCTTCGCCCCTGAAGTGATGAAGGTTTGCTGAAAATGTTATTTTAGTTCTTGCTGAGAATGTCAGTTTTCTGCAATATAAAATAAACGACATAGATGCAGCACTGTGAGCTCTAGTATCACATGAAAATTAAATGATGTATTTACTGTTCTTCGTTGACTCCAGATATTTGGAAACAATTACATGTTTGTATCTTAACTTCAGATGTAATTAAAAAACTATAAACTACTGTTTTTTTCTCTTTATTGGCTGTTGAAAATAAAAAAATATGTTCGTTTTAATTTCAAAAAAACAGTGTTTTTCTTACAATATCAATGAAATAAAATATTCTGTGGATGTTTTTACCATTTTCAATAGAAAAAAAAAAGTTCATTAATTTAAAAATACCAAATATCGTAGCACATACGCTCTGTGAATTTTATAAATAAAAGGTAACAGAACCTCCGAGAGGAATGAATAATTTTGACATGTTGTTCTTCTTACAACGAGATGCCCCCCAGTGGTACAGCGGTATGTCTGCTGACTTACAACGCTAGAATCCGGATTTCGATACCCGTGGTGGGCAGAGCACAGATAGCCCTTGTGTAGCTTTGTGCTTAAATTACAAACAATACAACGAGATATGTTTTTATTTTGTATTAAGAAGCATACAAAAAGAAAATATACACTTCTCCCTAAAACGAAGAGGGATTAAGTAACCAAGCGTGTGATTTGGTTAATTGTGTTTATTTAAGCTTTCGTATAAACTAGCCTACTAAATTGGCATGTTTTTTTTTATCAAGCCAAATGAAAAAGTTGCTTTACAATACTTTGCAAATACCCCACTTTTTAATACAAAATTCATCAGGTTAAAAGATAAAGTCCCTTCAATGAATTTAATTTAGAAAACGAGAAACATAACACAAAAAAACATGCAATTATTGGAATGACTCACATTTATCCAATGTCTCAACAAAACGGACCAATAAATCTCCATTTTGGTCAATGTTACAAATCTTCTTTTGTAATGCCCCCCCACGGGTTTCAATACCGGTGGTGGGCAGAGCACAGCTAGCCCATTGTGTAGCTTTGTGTAAACTAATATCTCGTGCGATTTTGTAATAAAAAATGCGTAATGTAAGTTATAACAACATATATCTATATATTCCTTAATTAAAATATATTAATTAGAATTAGTCCTTTAGTAAAATATCCTAATATTATAGTACCCAAAATCTCTAACGTATAAAGTTGGAGAGATAAAATAAATATAAAGAAATCCGGAATTGCAGAAAAAAACGGAACTCCAGTCATTGATTCCAAGTTTCAAAATTATATAATTTCAAATGACAAAGAATAACAAGCATTTTCCATTACTAAAAATAGTTATCATTCTGAAAATGTGTTTTACTTAATGTATTTATCATTTTATTCGAATAATTCTTAGTACGATATATGACTGCTAGGGATTCTAGTTGACACCATTATATTCTATTAGGATTTGTTTTTTAATAAAAGAAGAGCAAAAGCATTTTCCATGACTCAACATAGTTAATGGTCTGAAAATGTGTTTTAATAAATGCATTAACCACTTTTATTCGAATAATTCTAAGTACAATTTATGCATCCCCCAGTCGGCCACCTGTAAGCTTACGGACTTATAACTCTAAAATACATGCTTCGATTCCCCGTGGTGGACAAAGCGCAGAGAAACTATTGTGTAGTTTTGCCCAATAACAAACAAATACCTAAAAACAATATACGCGTGTACGAAATTCCAGTTGACAATATTATACTAATAATATTTTAATTTGTATTTTAATAATAAAAAAATAAAATGACTCGGAACCTGTATATTTAGATCATAGCAAATTCCAGACTATACGACAGTGCAATACCACCACGCACTTGTAATTTCTGGCTGGAGAAGAAAATCACGGCCCTCTTTTCGAGAAAGGATATTTGTGTAATGAAATACCATAAAGAAGCAAATCGCGGGTATAACAATATCAAAGATGATTATCTATGACATAATAAATAGCATTGACAACAAAATATAAACAGGACTGCCTCTACCATTGCCAAAGTTCATAGATTATCAGTCAACATTTCCCCTATCATCAAAACAAGAAGCACATAGTCAATAATGCACAAGATAATTTACAAAGATTTTGCCCTTGTAAAGAAACGAGCCACGAATACAAAAGTTTCGTTCCAGACATATTTGTTAGAAAAAGGCGAAGTGCAGAAAAGTGTACAAAAATTACGTTGCACGTAACTGATGAAAATACGGCATATCGTTGGACGACGCCCGCAAAAACCGACCACGAGTTGACAACACAAAGATATTCTAAAACAGTACAGAGAATGTAAATAACGTTTATAATTTCGCTTTATGTTTGCTGTAGGCACCTCATATAATGAGGAATTTGAATTGCACAAGTTGTACAGTAAAGAAAACGTGACCTCCAGTAACAATCAGTATAAAGTATTGACTTCAGTAATGCGCTGTCAAAATATTGTATTGTATGGTCAAGGTGCCATTAGGATAAGGCGTAAAACCACGTGTCTAAGTCTACAGCACAGGGAGTGAAAACGGTGTTTACGTTATACCTTTTTTGACTTGCTGTGTCCCATCACTTTCCTATCACTTCAAAAAAAAAAAAAAAGGAATAACTCGCGCTGATAGCTATCGTATAGGTTTGCATGAATTTAACAAATAGGAACGAGCTCACAATAGAGAAACCCCAGCCGAGTGGATAGTATGCCTGCTATTCTATCAAGAATACCCAGGATCGAAGCTTGATCATTAACATCACAAAGTACCCTTGCCAGATTAGCAGCCAAACGTTAGTTGTTATTGTCTATTAATAAAACAAAAATTAGTAACTAAACTACTGACTTTGACAACGAACAGTTCCCACTGAATCCATGCACATTGATTAATTTTTATTACTATACCGACACGCAGTTAGATTTAGATAACCTGGAACTAAATTTAACATTGTTTCTCAGAACAATATTATCCACATTATGTTTTAAACCCTTGATTAATTCAGAATGATACTTGTCTTAGAGTGTGCTTTTCATTATTCAGTTCGTTATAAATCTACATCCACATACTAGAAATAACTAATACTATGTCTACTCACAAGGCTACTCGCCGTCGATACATTAATGTTGAAAAGCGTCAAGAAAGATGATAAAATAATACCAGATCTGCCAATATATTTTGTGTTATTGAAAAGGCATATACCCTGGTTTCAGGTGGGAAATTGATCATCAATTACAGTGATTAATTTGGCAGCGTCTACGAAAATAAAAATA